CATCTTAAAATGAGGATGAGAATAGAGGATATCTCATAAAATTATGGTGAGAATTATGTGAAGTGATCCATGCAAAGCATTTAGCACAGTACCTGCCATTGGGTCGACACTGGACAAATGACAGCTCACTATCCACCCTAAGTATCCAAGACTCACCTACTATTCTGAGTAGAGGGCCACCACTGCCACCACAGCTTTCCCTTCTGAGGTTTGTCTGAATTTCCAGTTTGGAGGGAAATACCTCCAAACCAGAGTGGTGGCCTCTTCTTCCTTTCCTCAGAAGCTCACTGCCCCCACCCTGGTGAAGTCAGGCCATGACAATCAGCCCCCCAGACCACCCCAGGAAGGGCCAGGGACTCCCTTAAAAGGAGAAGGTACAAAGAGCAAGGTCATCCTGGTTCTCTAGGCAAAGAGAAAGGGGGAAGAGGGGTGGGGGGGTCTGTGAAAGGTCAGAGCACAGGTGGGGGAGGGTGCTGCTGGGGTGGGAATTCTAGAGCTTGGAAAGCTTTGAGAAATGACCACTCTGAGGTAAGCCTGTTACTAAGGGGGGGGGGAGTGAAGATTTGGGAAAAGAAAGGAAAATGCGAGTAGATTTGGCAAGAGAGGAGTCCAGAATGAAACCTCACTACCCCCCACCCCCAACTGCATCACAGCCAAGCTGCAACAACAGATGGGGAGGTAAGAGTCAGAAATGAGAGGTGGAGGAACTAGATCCCTGTCTCCTCTGTGTGCCTGATAGGTCAATCTGATAGGTAATTCATGGATGGAGAGGAAGAGCCATCTCATGGCTGTGAAGCTTAAAATGCACAGTTCAGTGCTGTGATGGTGACAGTTTCAAGGCAAATATGTTAGACTTGGTAAGTCCACCGAGTGTTTATTACATGTGAATTCAACTTTTAAAAGCTTCATCATTTTGTAGGAAAAAATAGGACAGATCCTACACCTATTGTGACTGTGGTTTCTGAATGTTCTTCCTGCTTGTGTCAGGTTTAAGGGGGGAAAATAACCAAGTGGGGAAAAAAGTGAGCAGCACTGCAGTTTTTTTTTCCTCACTGGGGAACATAGACTTTCCAAACACAGGAGGAGAGGAGCCGCCTGCCTTCTTTCCCAGCTGAGTCTGGGTTGGCTCCAGAAGAATAGACTATCTAGTTCCAATATTTTTCTGAGAAATATACAGTTTTGTGGGGCTCCTTAGAGAGCTGCTCTAGCCCCAAGGAAACCCCTAAGGGAGGCCCTGACCTCTAATAGTCACCAAGGAATCAATGGAGGCGGGGCTCCTTCCCAGTCTCTCTCCATCCTGCCAGACACAGAGTGGGTGGTCTGGAAGTTAGAGTGACTCCACCTATGGAATGAATGAGAAAGAAGGGTTATTTGAAGATTAAAAGGATTTATGCCATGTGTGGACCTTGCCTGGATTTTTATTCAAACATAGGAAAGGAGACAATTGGGAAAGTTGACCACTGATGAGATAGCTGATCATTTTATTTGCCTTGCACTGTGTTTTCCAAAGCTTTTAATGTTGTCATCATTTTTACAATAAGAAATTTTACATTAAAATCGAGATTTCCAGGGGCATCTGGGTGGCTCAGTCAGTTATGCGCTCTCTCACTCAAATAATAAATGAATCTAAAAAAATTAAAATAATATAAAATCCAGATTTCCAGCTTATTTTGAAAAATGGGAAGATGTGGCCCCCCACAGGCTGGGATGAAGGTGTGATTGCTCTCTTTTGGTCCTCAAGTTCAGAAATAAGTGCCAATTCTTCATGAAGGCTTCTTTGAGCACCCTAACCAGAAGTGATTTTTCATCCCTCTGAGCTCTTGGAACACATTTGATTACTCACCCAGCTGAAAACAGAAAACACTGAAAACACTCCTATTAGTTTTTTTTCTGTAGATCTCTTACTTCCCCTCCTCCCCGCTCCTCCCCACCACACCTGGGTGGGATTGAGGCATTTAAAGGCTCTAGATGCTGAAAAGATCAAGGAGGGTGCTTCCCCATATGTATTTTCAAATCAAATTTTATTTTATTCAAAGTGATGGTATTTACAAGTCAGCTGAGACCACACTTTCTAAATTGAAAAAAATAATTCTCCAACTTCTTATTGTGAAAAATTTCAAACCCACAGAAGAGCTGAAAGAATGGTAAAACAAACATCTATATAACCATCTAGAGCCATGATTTTTAACATTTTGTGATATTTGCTCTGGTTTTTCCTCTGAACTGCTTGATAGTAAATTTCAGACACTAAAATGCTTTGCCCCTAAACTTTTCAGCATTTATTTCTTTAAGACAAAGGACATTTTCCACAGTATCATTCTCACGCCCAAGAAGTTTGACCTTGATACAGTATTATCTAATACATGGTTCATATTCTAATTTTCTCAGTTGCTCCAACAATGAATGCTCTTTAAAGCTATTTTTAAAGATCTAGTATCTTTTTTAAATATATTTTTTAAAGATTGTATTTATTCATGAGAGATGCACAGAGAGAGAGGCAGACACAGGCAGAGGGAGAAGCAGGTTCCCTGCAGGGAGACCGATGTGGGACTTGATCCCGGGGTCTCCAGGATCACCACCTGAGCAGAAGGCAGATGCTCAACCACTGAGCCACTCAGGTGCCCTAAAGATCTAGTTTCTAATCAAGGACTGTGCTTCACATTAGTCTCTTTAGCCTCCTCTGATCCAGAACACTTCTCTGATGTTTATTTTTATTTTTTTAATTTTTTAAAAAGATTTTATTTATTTATTCATGAAAGACACACAGAGAGAAAGGCAGAGATGTAGGCAGAGGGAGAAGCAGGCTCCAGGCAGGGAGCCTGATGTGGGACTGGATCCTGAGACCACGGATCACGCCCTGAGCCAGGGGCAGGTTCTCAACCGCTGAGCCACCCAGGTGTCCCTATTTTTTTTATTTTTAAGATATTTATTATTTATTTATTCATTAGAGACAGAGAGAGAGAGAGAGAGAGAGAGAGAGAGAGAGAGAGATGGAGAGAGGCAGAGACACAGGCAGAGGGAGAATCAGGCTCCATGCAGGGAGCCGGATGTGGGACTCAATCCTGAGATCCTGAAATCCTGATCCCGGGTCTCCAGGACCATGCCCTGGGCTGAAGGCAGCGCTAAACTGCTGAGCCACCAGGGCTGCCCTGATGTTTACTTTTAATCTTTCATGATGTTAACATTTTGAAACATCTAGGCCAATTGTTGCATAGAGTGTGCCACAATCTGGATTTGTCTGAATTTTCCGCGTTAGTAGATGGGTTCAACATCTCACAGTGGATTCAATATTTTGAACATTTTTGCAGGAGATATAAAAGTGATATTGCATTTTCCTACATTGTCCGTTTGTGAAGTTCCAGGTAAATTCATCAAAGCTGAATTTATGTGTATGTGCTTTGCTGGTGCCTAAATCACACATGTGTCATATTAACAATCATGGCTACCATCTTGTGCATCATGCACAACATTGGTCTCTGTGTATATGCAGGCTTTGGGTACTTTATAATGCTGAACTTTTCTCAACCCACTCCTACCCCACCCCCACCCCCAGTATTTTTTCCCCCTCCATCCCCAGTATTAATCTATGACTTTACCAACACTTATTGTCCATTTTTAAAAATCGACTAAATCTGTATGTGTAACATGATATCTTGTGGGTTTTGTTTGCGTTTTCTTGACTGCTAAAGAGTTTGAGGATTTCTTCATATGTTTATTGATCATTTGTGATTTTTCTTCTGTGGGAGACCTGTTTATGCCTTTGGTTCATTTCTTGGAGATTGTCCTTATGTATTTTTAGATCTTTATGCATTCTGGATGCTAATCATTTGTGAACTGTATCTACATAAATCTCCACTTTCATGAAACAATATCGCTTAAGGCTAAGCACCGGAGACTACTGGTCAGACATTTTGGGTTCAAATTCCAGTTCTGATAGTAACTATGTGACTGTGAATAATTTAACTTCTCTCTGCTTTAGTTTCCTTATCTATGAGATGGGAGTGATAATGGTACCTACTTTGTCAGGTAGCAGGGGAATTAAATGAATGAATATAGATAGGTAATGCGAACAGTGCCTGGCACATAGTAAGAGTCAATAAATGTTTGCTGTTACTAGCTTCTTCCATTTTACAGGTCCCATGTAATTTTGAAATGCGGTGGGTTCATCAAAGTACACGTCCCACAAGTGGCCTCCTGTCCCATACCTATGGCCTCATCATAAACTGCTTTGCTACAACCATGTGCTACACCCCACTAATAACAGGGGTGCCTCGAGCTTGTATAGGCAAGCACCCAGGAAGTGATTTCTGCGCCTTAAAGACGCATCAGGTGAATTGTTTTCCCTTGTGAACGGGAAAAACATTTTGCAATCTTGAAGGACCTCTCCTCCAAAACCTAAGAGATTAATGCCAGCAGGCCCTCCTTCGTTGTAAAGACCCACAAACACCCTAGAGATAATTCATGCAATTTTGAGACCTAAGAGTGTCATGATTTATTTTGCAGCAATTTTTAAAGAAAGGGTGTACTCTTAGATTGGGCCGCTAGTATGTCACAAGAGCCTCTCACCCCCTCAACCTGTCTCTGGGCCTCTTCCCTGTAACTTGGACCTGTCTGTAGTGTTTGAAAGAGTAGTAAACTCCCGATACAAGCGCACCCAGGAGGCGCTCAGTATAATGCTTGGTAAAGCAAGGAAGGAAGGAATCTTAACTGCATTGCTAGGTAGATTGGGATGAAAGGAAAAAAGGAATGTTGGATGGCTCCCCGCACGGGATGCGGGAAAGCACGGAATGCGGGGGAGGGTTTCTTTAGCCCCAGGAGGTCCCTGTCCTGCAGGTCCCGACGTGGTGCCTAGGGAGCAGCGCTGCAGAGTTTGCGGGACCAGGAGGGAGCGGCTTCTCTTCGGGCCCCGCCCCCCCCCCCCCCCCCGGCGCCGCCACCAAGGCTGGCGAGACGGTCACGCCGGAGCCTGCGCACTGGGTCCCCAGCGCCTCCAGAGGTTCTCCACTCGGCGGCTCGAAGATGGCGGAGCGCGCCGGCGGCAGCACATCCCTCAGGGGGCTGCGCGAACGGATGGGTGAGCGGCCCGGAGGCTCCCGGGGGAGCCCGGGCCCGTGCGGGAGGCGGGCTTCTCGCGGCCCCGGGGACTGTTGTGGCGGTGCAGAGGGTGCCAGAAAACTTTACTCCGGGGTGGCCTCGCGCCGTCCGGTCCACCCCTCACGCGACACGGAGTTCCCCTAAACGGGACAGGGAACCGTTGTGGGACAGGCGGGGGGGGGGGACGGCCGGCCAGCATCACCAACGGCAGAAGTCCCGCGGCCAACGGCCCAACGGTCGCCGCTAGCGGCCGGACCTCGGGGGCGGGGCGCGAGGGAACTAACGGGCGCGGGGGGTGGAGGGGCCTGGGACCCGGGACCCCGCAGACGGTCCTGAGCTCCGCCGGCGGTTAGGGGGGCGGTGGACGCCCGCGCGGCCACCGAAAGGACGCGCCCCGGTCCGGGATGTGCGGGCGCCCGCCCAGACCCCGCGCTCTGGGGCAGCCCTTCCAGGCGCAGAGCCGGGAGTTTTCCCTCTGCGCGCGGCGCGAGCGGTCACATCCTCTCCCACAGTCGCACTCGTTCCCTCTCCCAAGGGCTTAATATCCCGCACCTTCCCAGTCAAGGTCCGGTGAGGACGGAGCCTTGGGGGGATGTTGCTTTGAAAGTTGGGAAGAAACTTGCTTCTCAGCTCCTCCTGATTTGCCTGCCGTGGCACATGACTTCGCCAAGATGTCACCTTCCGTGGGACAACTTGCAGACCCTAGGCTGCAATGAACGGAAAGCAGCACTTCAAAGTGCTTTTTTCCTAAACTGGTCCCACCGCCAAAATACCGCCCCCCCCCATCGTTAATTTTATAGAATTTGGCAGCGCATTGCTTGGCCCAGGAAACTGCTCCGCTAGCTTAGTGAAAAGGTATTTCTCGCTTGGTGTGACGTTACGTGCTGTTCTCAAACTAGCTCCCTATTAAGAACTTGAATAAAACGATTTTAATTGATTATATAGAAATTTGCTGTTAAAAAGTTGACTGCGTTTGGGAGGCTTTCTGTTATTTCAAAACTCTGCAACTCCCCAGTGTATCAGAAGCAAGTACACCTTGATCTTTACTTGGGAAGAGAACCCCTTCTGTTTCTAGCTTATTTTCCTTCACCTAGAAAGAATTTACAGTAAATTCGGATTGTTTTACTGCTTGTTAACACGTAAGGCTCCCTGCCACTGGTTTATTTCAGTCATTTAAATTAACCAGCATTCTGGACAATACCCCCCCCCCAAAAAAAAAAGCATTTTTGGGTATTGAATGTTGTGAAGTGTTTTATAATCTTGTATGAGACAGTTGCTTGAATTCACAATATTTCAAGCCAAAACCTTAGTCATGCAAAAAGGGCTTAACCTAGAACCCTAACTGACCTCCTTGCTGCCCATTTCATATTAGGAATTGAAAACATCACATGTTATATGTTAGACTTTTCACACAGTACCAGCTTAACTAGATTTGCCCTCCTGGTCCCAGTGTTTTCCTGAAGTGGGACAAGGAGTCATTGAAATGTTTTGCCAATTTGTGGCAAATTAAATGCCACTGTGACAGTTGCTTCTTTTTATTCTATTAATCTGGTCCATTTTATTTCCTGCTGGGAGTCTGACTCCAAGAGTTAAAACATTGTCCTGAATAAATAACTTCTTTGGGTACATGAATTATGTACATTCATTGAATTGTTTTCTGTGCCTAGGACTGTGCTAAGATTGTAGCACACTGAAGAAATAAACTTCTTTTAACAAAACATGTGTTTTATATTTTAATTGTTTTAAAATAATATGCAAATATTTCAGCCAGATGAGCATAAGAAACTTTGCCACTGGCTTATCACCTTTCTTGTTTTCCAAATTCACAAGTGATTTCTAAGTTTACTATAAATTACTTAGAATCCTTTCAACAAACACAGAAAAAGCTACTAAGATGGAGTCAGATCATGGAATTTTAGAGCTGGAGAAACCTTAAGGTTCTCAAGTCTGGCACCCAGAGTCGCAGCTATAAAATCCTGGGCAGCTTCTACAACTTGAATGTGTATTCCAATAGCTTAATATTTTTCCAAGTAGCCATTCCACTGTAGACATCTCTAAATGATAGGAAACTGTAATTTAAGACATGCTATCTTTGAGGAGTTTTTCTTTTTTTTATGCTAGGCACACAGTGAGAGAGAGAGAGGCAGAGACACAGGCAGAGGGAGAAGCAGGCTCCATGCACCGGGAGCCCGCTGTGGGACTTGATCCCAGGTCTCCAGGATCGCGCCCTGGGCCAAAGGCAGGCGCCAAACCGCTGCGCCACCCAGGGATCCCTTGAGGAGTTTTTTTTGTTTTAAGTTTATTTTTTGATGATCTCTGTATACACGGTGGGGCTCAAACACACCACCTGGACATTAAGAGTCCTGTGACTCCTTTTTTGAGATGGTGGTCCCTGTGGCAGCAATTATGATGTCACTTTCAAGGTTACTCTGTTAAATGACTCCCAGATAGCTTTCCTCAGTAGCAAAGAACATCTTAAAGTCAATGGATGACAAGGACAATGACAGTCACTCTGTTCCTTTGATTATTTTAATTGCCCATCTTCAGCTGTTATATTATTTCCTGATATATAGAAAATAATTGTATGTGGTATCCCAGGGGCATATTTCCTGTGCTTTCACAAGGGTAGAGAATTTTCACTGTTAATCTCCAGAGCCTTCCTGAAGATGCCCAACATTGTGGGGCATTTTAGATACAACCATACATGGAATTCAAGGGCTCAGGAATATATGGTAATTGGTGTATGTATCATCCTGGCATTTGTTTTTCTTACTCTCCCTCTAATTGTGCTCCCCTAATCTTGTATTTTATTTTACCCTCATTGAAGTTTATTTACCACTTGTGGACCTGTTTTACAAGGCATGTGTAAATTTATCTTTGTTTGCCTGATATTTTTCTACCTGGAATAATACTATGTCAATGGAAATTCCTTGGGTGCTTCTCCACCTTCACTGCATTAGAATAGAGCTTTTAGCAACTGGAAATGCCTGGGCCTCCATCCCAGAGACTGGGGGTGGGGAAAGGCAGGCAACTTAGGGTAACCCTAGTGTGCAGCCAGGATAGAAAAGCCCACGTCTACGTAATTTATATATATACTTAAAAATTTTTTAAAGACTTTATTTATTGAGAGAGTGTGAGCAGGAGAGAGCATGAGCGGGGGTGGGGGGAAGGGAGAGGGAGAAGCAGACTCCTTGCTGAGCAGGGAGCCCACCATGGCACTGGATCCCAGACCCCTGAGATCATGACCTGACCTGAAGGCAGACACTTAACCGACTGAGCCACTCAGGTGCCCCATAAATGTACTTTTTTTTAAAAAAAGATTTTATTTATTTATACATGAGACACACAGAGAGATGGGCAGAGACCTAGGTAGAGGGAGAAGCAGGCTCCCTGTGGGAAGCCTGATACAGGACTTGATCCAAGGACCCCAGGATCACGCCCTGGGCTGAAGGCAGATGCTTAACTGCTGAGCCATCCAGGCATCCCTAAATGTACTTTTTAATATCGGGGCTAATCTCTGAGGATCTCACTGTTGACCTGTCAATACTTCTGCTTCCAAATTCAGATCCATAAACACCAAGTCTTTTCTAAATTCTCAGTTTATGGCGAAACAGTTTTTCCAGTTCTATGCCAGCTCAGTTTTTCTAGTACTTGGTGTAATGTCTTGTCCGAGGCATTTTTTTAAAGGATTTTATGTATTCATGAGAGACATAGGGAGAGAGGCAGAGACATAGGCAGAGGAAGAGGCAGGCTCCTCGAGTGCAGTGCCATGTGGGACTCGATCCTGGGACCCCAGGATCATACCCCAAGCCAAAGGCAGAAGCTCAACTACTGAGCCACCCAGGCGTCCCTGTCCGAGGCATTTTTGAAAGCTATTAATCATTAGGTCCTACTCATCCACAAGCTCGTGCTATCACTCCCACCAACAACTCTCTCTGTCCACAGATAGGTTGGCACATCCACAGTAAACAGCTTTAATTCCTTCTTAAAGTGTGGAACATCATAAGTACTCAGTATGTCTTTTTATTGTTGACCCGGATTATGTCATGATTTTCGCCTTATAGATGCAAGATACTATCTTTTATCTTCAAGGAAAATTGCTTGTGCTTTACTTCCTCTTTGTTACCTGTTTGTAGTATCTGATCCCTTCCCTTTACTTCCTTGTATTCTAGTTGCTGCAGCTCATGCCCTTGCCGAAGAAAGACGGAATCAGAGTGGTCTCTGCTCTCTTCCATCACAGTCCTCAAATATAAGATCAACATTTAGACCAGGTGTAATTTCTAGAACACTTTTTGACTGATGTCAAAGTGCTACATCATGAAAATCTGATCTGTTAATGTCTTATTATATTCTTTTTTGTTTTTAGTCATCGATGGATCCGTACTTAAAAATGATGTGAAGCAGAGATTGGCGAAGGAGCGCAGAGAAGAAAAGAAGAGACAACAAGAAGGTATATTTTAGACTTTAAAAAAATCAGGATGAATGAATTTTCTGTCAAGGTTATGTATTTCCAAAGTGGTTTTACTTACTTTTCCTGATTTGTTTATATCATAGATTACATTTTTTTTCTAGGATGCATTATATTGGATTCAGTAACTTTTAAAAAAGATTTTATTTATTTATTTATTTATTTATTTATTTATTTATTTATTCATGAGAGAGAGAGAGAGTGAGAGAGGCAGAGGCACAGGCAGAGGGAGAAGCAGGCTCCAGGCAGGGAGCCTGACATGGGACTGGATCCCCGGTCCCCAGGATCACATCCTGAGCCGCGGGGCTAAACCTCTGAGCCACTGGGGCTGCCCCTGGATTCAGTAATTATACTAAGGCAGATAAAGAAGGCTTGTGAAAAATATTTGATTAAAATGTTTAATTTTTGAAGTAGTAGTTTCTGTTAGTTCTAATTTTCTGAAAACTGAGGTATGAAAACTTCAACATTTGTAGAAACAAGCAGAATGAGGGTTTCAATAAAAATGATTCTAAAAATGAAAATGAAGTTGCTAATAATCATAACAGGCTTCTCCAGTGTAAGTTAGGATCTAAAAGAATAATCTTTTTACACCTCAAGAGAAGGATTTTTTCAACTACTGCATTTTTCTTTGGTCTTTGAAATTCCCTGACAAAACTTGTGCTCAGCTTTATTCAAATGGAGATCATTTGTCTTTGTTTCAGTGAGGAGCTGTTTCTTCTTGGAACTCTTCAGGAGAGTATTTTAGAACTGCATAGATGTTCTCCAGGCTTTAGTGAGGGGAAATTTGAAATAGGAAAACATCATGCTGTACTATAATGTGGTATAAAACTGGCATGTTTAATGTGGTCTGTATAGATGAGACCTTAGAAAGAAGGAAGAAAAGCATTCTGGCCATGTGTTTTATATTTTTTTAAGATTTTATTTATTAGTTCATGAGAGAGAGACACATAGGCAGAGGGAGAAGCAGGCTCCATGCAGGGAGCCCGATGTGGGACTTGATACTGGGACTCCAGGATCGCGCCCTGAGCCAAAGGCAGACACTCAACCACTGAGCCACTCAGGCATCCCTGGGCATGTGTTTTCTTTTAAATTTTTATTTTAATGTATGTAGTGTGTTAATCTGATGGGGTTTAACTTCAGCTCAAATCAGCGGAAATAGCACATGAAAGAAAATATTTTATTTATTTGACACAGAGAGAAAGCCCAAGCAGGGGGAGTGACAGGCAGAGCTGAGGGTGACGCAGGCTCCCCATTGAGCAGAGAGCCCAACTCTGGGCTCTATCTCAGGACCCTGGGATCATGACCAGAGCCAAAGGCAGATGCTTAACCTACTGAGCCACCCAGGCACCCTGGAAATATTTTTTTGTTTTGTTTTTTTGTTTTTTTTTAATGATAGTAAAGGTTTTCTTTTTTATTTATTTATTCATGATAGAGAGAGAGAGAGAGGGGCAGAGACACAGGTAGAGGAGAAGCAGGCTCCATGCCGGGAGCCTGACGTGGGACTCGATCCCGGGACTCCAGGATCGTGCCCTGGACCAAAGGCAGGCGCCAAACCGCTGAGCCACCCAGGGATCCCCAAAATATTTGTTTTTAATATGTAATTTTAGTTTGGACAGGATTATGAGGGTCATCTAGGCCATCTCCATTATCTGGGGTTAAATGAACACCCAGAGCAAATGATTCTTTAGTGGCTTAGTGGCCATTCTCGTTCACTTATATAATTTTTTATAGGTTGGGATGCCTGGGTGGCTCAGCGGTTGAGCATCAGCCTTTTCAGCTCAGGGCATGATCCCGGGGTCCTGGAATCGAGTCTCATATCGGGCTCCTTGCATGGAGCCTGCTTCTCCCTCTGCCTGTGTCTCTGCCTCTCTCTCTCTTTCTCCCTCTCTCTCCCTCTCTCTGTCTCTCATGAATAAATAAAATCTTTAAAAAATACTTTTTTATAGGTTGTGTTATTTTTAAGAAAGAGGAGATATATTAACTTTCTCCTTTGTGAGTACTGTGGAAAACTTAAATATTTTCTTGGCTCTTATACCTTGAAAATGTATTTGAAATATTTCAGCCAACAAAGAAACCCAGATCCTTGAGAAGGAAAGAAAATCCAGGATCCAATATGAGAGGCAAATGGAGGAGAAACAACGAAAGCTGAAAGAACAAAAAGAAAAGGATGAGCAACGGAGAATATCTGCTGAAGAAAAAAGGAAGCAAAAACTACAGGAGGAAAGGGTACGTGTTTTGTAGCCTGTTAATCAGATGCCACGCTGTGTTGCCTGGCACTGGAATACTTCTTTCTTAGTCCTTCACTGCCTTTCTGCCCACCCTCCCGCCTGCTGCTGCCGCCACCAAAGGACCCAGTCCCAGTTCTCTCTCCTTCCCTTCAGTGGTAGAGCCTCTTTGGCCCTGTCCTCTCAGATCTCTGAGTTTTGAACTGCTAGCTGAGATAAAAAGGAGCCTTGCAGACCCAGGAAGAGAGCCCTTCCGCCATCTGGGATGTGGCCCACAGGTGCCTGCAGCCCAGGGTTTGCTCTGAGCTCTATCCCAGCGGCCTTAGTGTTCACAAAGCCACCAATAGGCCCCCATCTTACTTCTCACAGCAGCTCCTCTGACTGCTTGAGTGCATGCTGGTCAGATAACAGCACTTGCTCTCCCATCTGGCTTCCTCTGCCTTTCTCCTGTGTGTGCTCTTCCTCCCTGCTGTGCTGTGGCCCTGTCTCTCTCTTTACCTTCCTGGACTCTTTTGCTGTCTGATGCTGTCGGTATGAGTCACTGCCTTCTGTCCTCCTTCAATCAATTAATTGGTCTTTCGAGTGTCCATACTTGGGCATTTGGCTACCTGTCCTGTTCTGTCTGACTCCAACACCAGATTTTACTCCTGTAGGTCATTCTGCTACTTCACATTGAGGATCCTTGACTCCTTGTGAATCTGCCATGCTCTCTGGGACACCATCCTCTTTCTTTTTTTTTTTTAAGATTTTATCCATCTATTCATGAGAGACAGAGAGAGAGAGAGAGAGGCAGAGACATAGGCAGAGGGAGAAGCAGGCATCATAAAGAGAGCCTGAAGTGGGACTCATCCAGGGTCTCCAGGATCACTCCCTGGGCTGCAGGCGGCGCTAAACTGCTGCGCCACCCGGGGCTGCCCCACCATCCTCTTTCTTGCTGGCATTTTTTCTTTTTCTTTATTTCACTGATTCTCAAGTGTCCCTAACTCAGTCTTTGTCTCAGGTTCTCCATCTGACTGTGACCTTTTTCTGCCAGAAGTGCCTCACTTTTCATTCCTCATTGTCTTAGCTTTTCTCTCCGTCTTTGGGCTTTCTGCCTATTCTCTCCGTATGTGTGTTTTTATCTCTCCTGCTTTTCTACTGTTGCTCTTATTTTTTTAATGTATTTTTTATTTTTAAAGATTTTATTTATTTGACACAGAGAGAGCACAAGTAGGCAGAACAGCAGGGAGAGGGAGAAGCAGACTCTTCACTGATCTGGGAGCCCAACGCAGGACTTGATCTCAAGACCCTGAGATCATGACCTGAGTTGAGGCAGACCTTTAACCAACCAAGCCACCCAGCACCTCTATTGCTCTTATTTTTTTTAAGATTCACTTATTATTTATTTGAGAGAGAAAGCACACGCAAGACAGTGAGTAGCACGAGTTGGGGGAAGGGCAGAGGGAGAATCTCCAAGCAGGCTCCCTGCCAAGTGCAGAGCCCATGACAGGGCTCAATCTCAGGATCCATGAGATTGGGACCTGAGCCAAAACCAAGAATCAGATGCTTAACTTACTGAGCCACCCAGGCGCCCTTAAATATTCTTTTTGGTTCCATTTGTCCTCATGAGGCTTCTCTGGTGCTCTCTCTTCTTCCTTGTGCACACGATTGCTCTCACATGCCTCACCCCCAGCCCCTGCCCTGTGTGTGTATCTTCCTTATTCTAGGACTGTTTGCATGCCATTTCTTCCCCACCCATGGTCCACTACATTTTTTCCCCCTCTCTCTCTACCTTTTTCTGTGGTTGTTTATGCTGTTTTTTTCATATTCCAGTATTTGATGAACTCCCATCCAGGATTTCTATCACCATCTTCCTTTGTGAAAGCTCCTTAATTGACTTCTGTGGTGAAGAGAATGAAGGCCAGACATAGAGTGATCTGAACTAAGAGACTGAAAGAAAGTAATGCAGAACACTGCAGAGTGGGGGAGGGTCCCTGGAGAGGAGAGACTCCCAAGGACTGAGAGAAAAAGACCATTTTAGAGAAAGAAGAACCTCAGAGAGAACCCAGAGAAAACATAACAAAATGGCACTGCAGAGAGGCAGGGAGCCAGGGGTGCAGTGGGAGAAAAGAAGCAGGAGGACAAAGAGAAAAGGGGCAAAAGAGAACCAATCTCACAAAACTAGTGTGATGGGGTAAGGGTGGACCCTGACAGACTAGGAAGGGTCCATGGGACACTGTGAGCAGCCTGCACATAGAAAAACAGAATAATTCATTAGAGTAGGAGGTGGTACTGAAGAGGGCTGAGTGTAGACAGGAGACCTGTAGGAGCCACAGGTGCAAGGGGAGCCTGAGAGGACAGAGGGCCAGTGCATTTGGAAGCAGGGGGATAGAATGCTTAGGAATCACAAATGTTTCAGTAACACAAGATGAATCACTGTTTTCAGTCTTGATTATACTTTCTGGGTTTTTAGTAATTTGAGCACCTTATTATTTTCTGTTGGAAAATATAATTTTAAAATATTGCCATTAGATACATTTTAAGAATTGCAGTTGCTTTTCTCCTGAGAGGATATGGAGGACTCTCCATTTTCCTTGTATGTTTATCTTTTCTCTCAGAGAAATGGTGGGGGCATTGTAAGGATGATGTTGCTATGAAACGGTTGTTGTCAGGGAAGAGTAGAAAGCTTCCTGGCCCTGCAGTTGATTTGCTTACCTGAGTATAGTCCATGGTCTGGTACATCACAAGGACTTGAAATATCAGAAAGGAAAACTATGCCAGCCCCTCATTTCTGGCAGTGGGATTGTTTTGCCACAGTGTGGTGTTTACAATTGAATAGCTATTATCCTGAGCCCTTACAATTAAAGTTGAGGTCCAGGGGTGTTTGGCTCAGTCAGAAGAGCATGCACTCCTGATCTTTTGAGTTGGAACCCCACATTGGGTGCAGAAATGACTTAAAAAAAGAAAACTTAAAGTTGAGGTCAAGACAAACACATCAATTATCTTTTTTTAACTTTATTACTAGAATTAAAGATGTTATAAATGGGTATTATAGATGATTCTGGCATAGATTTCACTTATATAAGTTGATTTTTTTGCCTCATTCTACAAAGAATTTAAGGTGTATTTAATTTTATTTTTTAAAGATTTTATTTACTTATTGGGCGGGAGGGGCAGAGAGAGAGGGAAAGAGATTCCCACACAGACTCTATGTAGAGTGCAGAGACCAGTGTTGGGTTCAGTCCCATGATCCTGAGATCATGACCTGAGCCAAAATCAAGAGTTGGGCGCTTAACTGGCTGCACCACCCAGGCACCACTTAAGGTGTATTAAAAAAAAAACAAACCACGGGCAGCCTGGGTGGCTCAGCGGTTTAGCGTTGCCTTCAGCCCAGGTCGTGATCCTAGAGACCCGGGATCGAGTCCCACATCAGGCTCCCTGAATGGAGCCTGCTTCTCCCTCTGCCTGTGTCTCTGCCTCTTTCTCTCTCTCTCTCTCTCTCTCTCTCTCTCTCTCTCTCTGTCTCTCATGAATGAATAAATAAAAATTAAAAAAAATAAAAATAAAAAGTAAAAAACCGAACCACAGGGTTCCTGGGTGGCTTGATCCATTAAGCATCTGCCTTTAGGTCAGGTCATGATCTCAGGGTCCTAGGATCGAGCCCCACTTTGGGCTCACTGCTCAGCGGGGAGTCTGCTTCTCCCTCTCAAATGAATAAATAAAAAAAATTTAAACCCCACATATCGCATCCAGGAAATAAATGATTGAGGGGATAAATCACGGGAAAATTGATGGTGGAAAATGCTAAAATATAAGTATGCTTAGCATACATTTAAAAAAAAAGCACTACTTGGTTTTTGTTTAGTTGCTAGAAATGAGCTACAAATTTGGTTCTAAATTTCCTAATGATATAAGCAAAGAGGGAAGCACAGTCCATTCCTCATTTCATATTCATAAGATTAAAGCCTGTTATTGAAGAGAAGCATTGACATTGACTGATACCAGAGACATGGTCTTCAATTATTTATTTGTTTGGTCTTCAGTTATTTTTAACTATTACCTGATGCCTCCCCAACATTTTGCATGATACAAAAATTTGATAATGGGGTGGTTTTCTAACCCACAGATTTAAATTATACTGACAAAATTAATATGTAAAAATTTGTTGGCATTTATTTTAAATAGGAGAGGTTCAAAGCTGTTCTCTATCGAACACTGGAACGGAGCAGCCGTGTCGATTGTCATCAAAAAAGATGGTCTTGGGAGGGCTCTACAGCCGTGAACCCTGAGACTAAAACTGGTAATTAATACAATTGTTAAACTTTAGGTTCATTTATGTTCATATTTTGTAATCTCTGTAAAAATGATTAATAATTAAGCTTTATACAGCTTTATCTAATGAATATTTCAAAAATAAATTAAGTCTGCCCGTTTACTGTGGAGGGTACCATAAATTTTCCTGTAGATGAATATAATTCTACCGTTTCATAAAACTTAAATTTATATCATTTGTGAGGAATGACAGGGAACATTGAGCATCTAATTAATGCGTGTACTCTGTCAAACTGCATCATGAACTCATTTTATTTCAGTTAATGATGCTTTAGGAATACAGTAAATTCTGTATCTTTTCTCAGTTAATAAAGATTTCGTATCAACTGAAAAACTTGAGCAGAGGGCTTCTGGTTTACACAAACAAATGTCTTTGTCATCTGCAGGTCTTCAGAACTCTATCGCCAAGAGTAAGTAGTTATTTCATATATTCTACTGAATTTTAAACCAATGACATAATTTCTTTTTATATCTTTTCATAGTACTACTTACCCTTTAGATGGTGGAACATTTAGATTTATTTCAGAAGAGAACCACCTTGTTTTACAGCAGAGATGGTCATTACTATTTTGTATTTTCATCAGTATTAATCCTTTATTCATGATTTGCATATGAATCAGATGGATTTGCTGAGTTCAGGTGGCCCAAACTGAAACATATTTTAACCAAAAGACATTGCCGTTAAATGGCTCAGTAATTTGTTACAAAAGTAATTCATATTTCTACCTAACTGGTAAGTGAAATCCTTTCTCTAGAGAGTAGCTAGATTGGTCATTCGGATTTTATTAAGTTTCATGAATATCACCTCATTTAAGGAAAATGTTAGCATATATACAGCAGTGGACAGGTTGATCTGCTTCAGATAAGTCCTATTTGTTACTTATGACAACCTTGTAAAGGTGACAGGCAAATGTAATTACCTACCTGGCTTTATAGTTAAGACCCCAAGAAATTCAGTGCTTTTCACTCTATCATGCTTATTTATGGCTTTTATTTTGGTCATTTGATAAGCAGGTCATGATGTTGAAATTGTACTTTTCAGTAATAAGCCTATGTTTTCCTTCAAAGAAAATGGTCCCGTGTTCAATGAGCAAAGCATTGCTAACCTCCACTTTAGAATTCTTCATAGTGCTAATGTGGTGTTCTTTCTTTATTTTTTTTAATTTTTATTTATTTATGATAGTCACACAGAGATGAGAGAGAGAGAGAGAGAGAGGCAGAGAGAGAAGCAGGCTCCATGCACTGGGAGCCCTACGTGGGACTCGATCCCGGGTCTCCAGGATCGCGCCCTGGGCCAAAGGCAGGCGCTAAACCGCTGTGCCACCCAGGGATCCCAATGTGGTGTTCTTTAAAAGCAAATGACTACTATGACTACTTTATTTAAAAAAATTTTTTTTAAATTTATTTATTAATGAGAGACACAGAGAGAGAGAGAGAGGGAGGGAGGGAGGCAGGCTCCACGCAGGGAGCCCAACGTGGGACTCGATCCCGGGTCTCCAGGGTCACGCCCTGGGCCGAAGGCAGACACTTAACCACCGAGCCACCGGGGCTGACCCGCTATGACTACTTTAAATACATCTTGCTTCTGGTGTTTGTCCTTTTAATTAGTGTTCACCTACCTGTCAGTGATCATTTCTGACTTGTTGCACATGGTGCTTCTTTCTCACTGATGATTGAAATGGATTAGACAACCATAACCATCAATCCAAAAAAAAATAAATAAATCCTTTCCGGAGGCAAAAATGGAAGTGATTTTGGCGAGAAGACATGGCAAACATATTCCACATCATTACCACTTTTGTGCCTTATAAATTGAAAAAAGAAGGGCATAATTATGGTTTGAATTTAAAGATCTTTTTGTATTAGTAGGTACCTTGACCTATTTTTGAGCAATGCTATAAAATTGCAGTGCAGCAGAAGTTCTGGATCTCATTTAAAGTATAATTAGTTGTAGCAGTAGTTAACTTAGTGGGAAAGATTTTCATTTTTATCTAAATATTACAGTTTTAAAATGTTGAAAGGGATTTTTGTTTTGTTCATACTTACGTTAGTTGTACTTTTAGGAAGGACTCTGAGTTTCCATTGATGAGCTTGAGAGACTTTTTGTCAGTCTTGGGTTATCACTTTTTTTCTTTTAATGGTCTAACAAAAGTTGATCCACTTACCACCCTAACCCTTGATAGGCTTTCCCAGAACATTTATGTGTAGCCTGGGTTTTTTGTAGATTAATGTGGGAAGGTTTTCTCTAGTGCTTTACTTATAATAAAATTAATTTATTCACTGATACAATCTTTTAGAAAAATTAAATAGCATTCATTACAATGTTATATTTATATACTTTGCTTTTATATATATAATTTTTCATTTTGATATATCTTAATTGTTTCACAAGCATTCACTCTGTTTCACTGTCTAATTGCTTTGAGGAGTTAGCAAATATTGCTTCTGCAGACATGTATGACATTTTTAGTATAATGAGAAAATACTAGTATGCTTTCCTTAATAAGCCTCTTGCTGTATTATTAATGAGACTTGTAAAGAGGAGGAACAGGTAATGAATTTCAGGATAATAATTGCACTGAAAGAGCAATTCCAAGTAACTTTTTAAATGATTTTTTTACTAGTTTTTAATACAAGAAAGTATGTATAGAAGATAGAAATAACGTACGTAAAGGTATAGTATATTGCACACTCTGAAACACTGAATGTTTTAATTAATGATGTCAGGGAAAATAAAATCTGTATTGGCAGTGGCTTACCTTTGTAAACTTTCTTCAAATTGAAATGAAACCTGTTTGATCCAGAGAGATGAACATTTCATGCTTAAATGAAGTACATAATCTAATATCCTGTAATATTTTAAGTAGCTCTGTTTTAAAGCTTGGCTGATTCAAATTGCCTGTTTTTCTTCTGCTCATTGCTGACTCATAATAACTGTTCACAATATCCTGTCATTTCTTGCAGTATGAAAATAAAGGATATGTGATTTAATCACATGATTGAATTGATTATACCTCTACATCATGCTGTTCAATTACATTGTCAATTCAGGCATTTTCAGATGATGCTATGTTGTCAATATGTACAGGTCCCCAATTTAATTTATAGGTTCCCAAAAGAGAAGTTATTCTTTAAACAGACACTTCTCAGTATCCTGAGCCAGAGAGTATTTCAAGTGAAATGGGAAAGTGTCTACACAAACCATATATTTCATTAGGTTGCTAAAATTGTGACATCTGTGCCAAATGTTAATGATCATTTTTGTTTAAAAAAGTAACCATTATAACTAAAGTATACATTAGTTTAGTAATAGATGTCATGGATTGTGTCCAAAACTAAAGGTTATATATTCCCAATTTGGGAATATTGATTTGTCAGGTAGTATTTGACATTTTCCTCCTAAGTTTTAACTTTTTTTTTCTTAATTTATTTTCCAAATAACTTAGAATAAACTAGTTTTAAGTTTGGGGATGTAGAATCTCTACGTGAGATTTGAAATTTAAATTTTTATAAGCAAGAGTAGAGAAGGTAAAAAATATTTGAAAAGAGAAGTGACTGACTCCTGAAATAATATATTTAAATAATTTCTAAAAAATGATGTTCTTTTGCTGTCGATCTCCAGAAAAAACAGAAAAGAAGAGAAGCTCGTCTTTGACTAGAAGATCTGGCAAACTGCAGGCACCTGCGGAAACTGACCACGTAGAAGAAAAACCAGGTGGTTAGTTCTTTCTAATCTTAAGTGGTAGTTTAAGAGATCTCTTGGAGCACCTGAGGGTTGGCGGGGCTCAGTTGGTTGAACTTCTGACTTCTGATTTTGGCTCAGGTCATGATCTCAGGGTCGGGAGATCGAGCCCTGCATAGGACTCAGCAAGGAGTCTGCTTGAGATTCTCTTTCCCTGCACTCCCTCCCCTCCTCTGTACCGTGCTGCATTCTCTGTCTCTTTCTCTCAAAAAACAAATCTGTATTAACATTTGGTCACTTGAGAAGTTGTTCCTAAAATTGGGAGCCAGAATATCCCTTCTTTAACTAAAAATGTACTTTGATGCCATACTTATTTGACTGAAGCTAAGAGTGTGTCTTCAAATGAAATATGTAATTCTGCTGTCATCTGAGTAAGACATTTATAATGAAGCTGAGGGACTAGATCACAGAGTGTTAGTGTAGAGATTTTGTGTTGGAGGACTTAATTCTCTTCAAAGATTTCATCAGTTAGTATTTAGAAGTTCTAAGTTATTGGTCATAATTTGAACTTCAGAGCTTTGCTATGTTGCTTCAGGGATTACCCACATCTAACCTTTGTGCATGTATTCACTGCTGATTATTATACACAGAATTTGATACCTACTACTGAGTAGTACTTCTTTATCTAAAGTAGTTTCTTAAAAAAAAAATAAAAAAAAATAAAGTAGTTTCTTTCTGGGGCACCTGAGTGGTGTTGTATTGGTTAAGCGCCTGCCTCCAGCTCAAGTAATGATCCCAAGGTGATCCATTGGGCTCCTTGCTCCTTAGGGAGTCTGCTTTCCCTTCTCCCTCTCCCCTTGCTTGTGCTGTCTCTTGCTATCTCACTCTCTCAAATAAGTAAATAAAATCTTAAAAAATAGTTTCTAACACCTTCCCCCTCACCCCAACTCATGTTTGTCTCAGTCAAACATGATTGTTGCTTTTTGTTTTATACCAAACCATTCACTTACAGAATACTCTCCAGTTCTTTGATTCAGGCTGAATCCTATTATTAACAAATGCCATTGTCATAGAGATCTTTATGAATATAAAAATGTTTGGAGCAAGTTATTTACAAGATGCACTTTTTTAACAAAAGAAATCAGTCAAGTTCCTTGGAACTTTTGGTAATGAACTTGACCAGTATGACTGTCAGTGGCATATATCTGTAGAAATCCATGTCAAAGTTGCTTTGTCACATACAACTTCTTTCTCCATATGTGAGTTCCTCCATAGAGACTATACATTGGATAGGGTTCTGTTAAATATGTTATCTAGATTTCTTTATTGGGGTTATTGTGTATGCTGGGGCCTTTGACCCTTAATTCAGGTGATCTCTTCCATAGCAAGGCAATCTGATCCCGTGGCAGTGTTCACTCCCATTATATATATGTTCTCGTTGCTTCTACTTTCAGGCTGGGAAAGTTCTCATTTGCAGCAGTTCACATTGCTCTTTCTTGCTTCACATTTATTTGTGAGACCTCAACTTGAATCCTTTTTGTTTGTTCTTATTTAGCTCGTCCCCCGTATACCAGTCTTCGGGAAAGTAATTTAATCACTCGCCTCCTCGTTCCTACAAAAGCATCAATAGCCAGGAGCAAAAGTGCTGCTTCTTTATCAGTCCCTGGGAAAGATACTCCAGGTAACAGGCATAGGGCAGAAAGCCTGAAAGTGTTAGTATTTGCACTTAAAAAGCAGGTTAGGGTGCCTGGGTGGCTCCATCGGTTGAGCATCTGCTCTCTGCCTTCGGCTCTGGTCATAATCCTCCAGGAATCCTGGGATCGGGCCCGTGTCAGGCTCTGCACTCAGGGAGCCTTCTTCTCTCTTCCTTTGCCCCTCTCCACTCATGCTTCTCACTGTCAAATAAGTAAATACATAAAATCTTTAAAAATATAAAAATAAATAAAAATTAAAAAAACAGATTATATCATTTAATTTGTTGCAGTAAGACATAAAAATAATTTGCATCAGTATTCCAAATGACTGATTTTACCCATCCTTTTATGTTGTGTATTTATTTTATGCCGTCTGTTGTGCTAGATTAGTTATTTGGGTAATAGTTAATTTTGTTAATTTTTTATATTTATTTATTTATTTATTTATTTATTTTGTTGAATTTTTAAATGATTTTTTTATTTAAAAAAATTTTTTTTAATCTTTCCATGTTATTTATTTTTTAAATGCTTTTTGGACATTTATTTTTTCTTTTTTACATCATTATTCTTTTGTTCTCTCTTAGCTCATCTTTGGTAAGTTTATAGTTATTTTATTTTAAATTATAATTTTATTTTATTTTTTTTGGCATTTTATTTTATTTTATTTTATTTTATTTTTTTAAATAAATTAATTTTTATTGGTGTTCAATTTACCAACATACAGAATAACACCCAGTGCTCATCCCGTCAAGTGTCCCCTCAGTGCCCGTCACCCATTCACCCCCACCCCCCGCCCTCCTCCCCTTCCACCACCCCTAGTTCCTTTCCCAGAGTTAGGAGTCTTTATATTCTGTCTCCCTTTCTGATTTAAATGATTTTTTTAAAGGATTGTATTATTTATTGAGAGAGAAAGCATGAGCAGGGGGAGGGGCAGAGGGAGAAGCAGACTCCCTACTGAGCAGGGAGCCTGACATAGGGCTTGATGCCAGGACCCTGGAATGACTATGACATAGACCCATGACTATGACCTAAGCTGAAGGCAGACACTTAACCAGTTGAGCCACCCAGAGGCCCCTTAAATGATTTTTTAAAAAGATTTTTTAAGGTAATCTCTATACCCAACATATGGGGCTCAAACTCCTGACTGAGAGATCAAGAGTTGCGTGCTCTACTGACTGAGCCAACCAGGCATCCCTAACTTTTTAAAAGTTATTTATTTATTTATTTATTTATTTATTTATTTATTTATTTATTCATTCGTTCATTATGAATGAATGAGAGGAAGAGAGAGCATGCAAGTTGGGGGTTGGGAGAGAGGGATAAGCAGACTCCTCTCTGATCTTGAAGAGCCTGGTACTATGCGGCTCAATCTCATGACTCTGAGATCATGACTTGGGCTGAAATCAAGAGTTGGAGGCTCAACCAACTGAGCCACCCAGGTACCCTGCCTCTAAATTTTTAAAGATCTCTGGGTTTCTTGACCTGTGCTTCTGTACTGTAAAAAGTACTGGATGTTAAAAGTATCAGAAAATTTTTATAATATCAAAGGAGAAAGTTTCCTACTCCACCCTCCTTTTTTCCCTAAAATATGGAAGAATAACATTGAGCTGCTCTTCAACTTCTTATTGTTAGTAAAATAAAACTAATATTCAGGCTTATGTGGATTTTCTCACTTACAGGTCACACAGAGTATTAGACAAACCTGTGGGTAGTAAGAAGTCCTCAGTAGTGGAGTGTGCCTCAAATGCACAATTCTCTTCATTCTTCTTTTTTCCTCTACTTTTTTCTTTCCAAAATTTATCCCACCATCTTTATTTTTTCTTCTGTTAATGTTCACATGATTATTAAAAGAAATTAGTGCTATCAGAGCCTTTTTGGTAGTACAGCCTTCTTTTAGTTTAGATTCCTGACTTTGCTTTTCCCCCATTATATATGTATGTCAGATTATTTTATGCCAGTCTCTCCCCAGTCTACTGTGAGATATTTTTTGTATTAACTTTCATTCCTGTTTAATAATCTATTACTTCCATCAAAAATATAACATTTTATCTTAAATTTCTATAGCTATACTTAATATATTTTTTATAGTGCAAACTGTTAGTGTTAAACAATGTGACTGTTTAGGTACATACAGATGTGTAAATAAAATACTTTTTCCACCAAAAATGGGGGAACTAAAAAATATTCAAATTGTTTATTCATGAGTAGTCAGTCTTTGGTAATTTGTTTTGTTTTGATTATTTGATGAGATCATGTAAAAATTTACTACCCAGATTTAAAGAGGAGATGACAAATTTACCAAGTCTTATGAAAGCTACCACCAAATACTTTTTTAAAAATAATTTTTTGACCTGCTTTTGTTTAAACTCAATATATACCATTTTCTGGGGCACCTGGGTGGCTCAGTTGGATAAGCATCTGACTTCGACTCAGGTCATGATCTCGGGGTCCAGGGAACAAGTCCTGCATTGGGGTCCCCACTCAGCAGGGAGTCTCCTTGTCTCTTTCCCTCTGCCCCACCCCTTGCGTGACTTGTAATGGTAACAATCTCTGGCCCTGGTGAAGTTGTTTTAGATTACTTTTAAAAAGTGTTGGATATCTTGTAATGTTTTATGAAAATCATTCAGAACTATAGTATGATTAAAAGAGAAATGGCTTATTGTAAATATCAACTTTGGAGAAGCATCCTCTCTTCATCTGTAGTGGACTATTGCTTTCACAACACCTCTTTGATGGTGGCGCTTCTGAAGTACCAACTTTGCGATGTTTTTGTCCTGTATCTGTGATCCATTTCACTAAACACTTCAGTATTGTGTGTAATCCCTGCAGTTTACTAATGAACGTAGTCTCTTTTCTCTTCCTGTTCTTATACTGTCACGTGGTGCGATACTGTCTTGTCAGGTTTCTAAGTGTGTGCAGTTTCATTCTGTTCTCATTCACCCACAGGGACCCGCAGTACTTTAGTCCAGAATATAAACGTGCCATTGTGTAGCCAGAGCAGTGACGAATTGAAGAGTAACGTAGTGCTTCACGAGTCATCAGTAGTAGTGCCTTCCGAGGTAGTGCCTCCCCGGGAAAAAGAAGAAGCACTCTGTGAGGTGAGTGCAGAATCATCACCCAAGCCAAAAGTGGAAGCTGCCCCCAAGGCAAAGGCAGAAGTTGCCCCCCAGGCAAAGGCAGAAGTGGCCCCCAATGTGAACGTGGAAGGGGCTGCCACAGTGAGTGTGGAAGCAGCCCCTGAGGTGAATGTGAAAGCAGCTCCCGCTCCCAAGGTGAATATAGAAGCAACCTCCAAGGTGAACATGGAAGGGTCCCCTAAAGGGAGCATGGAAACATCATGTGAAGCAGAAGTGGAAGCACTCCCTGAGAGCATGGAAACATCACCTGAAGTGAGTGTGGACATGTCCCCCGAGGTGAGCGTGGACCCATCACCCACAGTGAGCGCAGACCCGTCCCCTTCGGTGAGCGTGAACGTGTCCCCTGAGGTGAGCGTGGACCCGTCCCCCGAGGTGAGCGTGGATTCATCTCCCGAGGTGAGCATGGATGCATCCCCTGATGTAAGCATGGAAGCATCATCTGAGGCAAGTGTGGAGGCATCACCCAAGACTAGCGTGGGAGTGTCCCCCGAGGCCAGTGTGGAAGCGTCACCTGAGGCCAGTGTGGAAGCGTCACCTGAGGCTAGTGTGAAAGTACTCCCCAGAGAGAGTGCGGAAGCATCCCCCAAGGCATCCCCTGAGGTGAGCCCAGAAACATCTTCGAAGGTGAAAGTGAGAGACTCTGCAAAGGTTTGTTAGATACCTTTTATTGAAAAATTTTCTGTTAAAATCTGCATGTTTACTTGTGTAAGTTATGATAGGTCAGGTTTCACAGCATAAGCAACATGTTCATATTTATAGCATTCTGTAATAAAATTAGTAAAATAGGATAACTTCAACGATTTAAAATTCTGATATTCATTGTACCAGTTTCCCCTCGAAGATAGATTAATTTTTTAGTAGAAGGGAGTAACTTTTACATGAACTGTTTCTAAAATGTGAAGAAAAGCTTTTTGAGAAATAATGCAAAACTTTTAATCAGGATTTAGAAATAGAATTTGAAGTGAAAGATTTTTTAAGATAATTATTTCTGTGATCTTGACTTTTGTAATCTGATATGGTAGCCTAGAAGAACATATCTGTGTACCTAATTCTTATGCTTAAAAGGAAAATTGGGAGTTTAAGGAGCTATAATTGTATTATATTCAGGGTATTTTTGTCTTAAAAAAGTCAGCTGCAGTAAAGTAAATGCTAATTCTTAATATGATCAAATTACTCTGTTCAGAAATCAGAAATGGACAAACATGCCTCAAATCCTACTGCCAAAAAGCGCTCATCATCACACATACCATGTTATAAATGGCCATCTTCTCCTGCAAGTGCATGGCGTCCACCTTCTCCTATCAGTGCAAAGTAAGTAGCTTATTTGCAGCTGTTCCTGATAAGTATTTTACCATGATAAATTCCACGAGTGTTTCCTAAATGAAATAACATCAAACATAAATATAGAAAATGCATCATAACATAAAAAAGCCTTTAAAGATGGAATAACATATCATAAAATATTATCATAATATCAAGACAATATATTTTATGAAATGGCACATTATAAACTAATTAGCACATATATATTACAAAATCATATCCGATTTCCCCCATTAATGGTTACTTTTTCCCAGCAGGCAATTGCAAAAGAATCGCCCCCCATCACCTTCACCCGTCATGTCAAAACTGTCACATTCTTCTCTTTCTTATAAAATAATTCCTGTTCAGCGTAGCCTATTTGCGCAAAATGCATTAGGTACTCTTGGAAAGAAAAGAGAAGGAATGCCTAAACCTTCTAACAGCTCTGAGGCTGTGAGCCACAAGCAGATGGTCTATGAAGGTAAGTTCTTTCACTAAGTTTATTTAGGCAACCCAGAAAATCTTAAGGTACTTTGGGAATAGTTGCCTTTATTTTATTCCCCAATTCTGAGAACTTTAGGGAGTGAGCCTTCTTTTGATAAAGAACCAATCATTGGCACACTATTTACTTTTTCTTGCCAGAGCTTCTTACCCTTACCCCCTTGTTTTGGAACATCCATTTTTGGAACTGATGTTAAAAGTAACTGGTTGGGGGATGCCTGGGTGTTTGTCTTCCTCTATATTTAGTGTGTCTTAATCTTTTTTTCCCATAAGGAAAAATATCACATCTCTCAAAATGGCTAAACCAAGTAGGAGTACATTATTTTATTTTGGAGCAAGTAGTTGTTAAAAAGAGACAAACTGTTTCTTCTGTTACTGGGAGTGGGGTTCGGGGTTTGAACCAAATCTGTAATCACTTACTTATAGATTGCTTGTTATTTATAAATTTTAGACCATGTGCATATTGTTTGGGTTTTTAATGTCATTGGTTGTCTTGTACCTCTTTATTGGACTTAAGGGTGTTAAGTTCCCTAAGCTAACTGTTTTACATGTTAATTTTAACTAGAGTCTGGTAATAAAAGCACACCAGGGACTATGAATGCTGAGGAGGCAACAAAAATTTTGGCAGAAAAACGACGCCTTGCTCGTGAACAAAGAGAGAAGGAAGAAAGGCAACAAAAGGAAATGGAGCAAAGGTTGGCACCAACCCACTCTTTCTATACTCTGTCTTGGCTAGGGCCCAGATTTTGAAAGTCAAAAATGTACCTTCAGGTTAGATGTATTTCAAATACTCAAAGAGTAACTGACTTTTTCTTTAGTGTGAATCAGAAATGACTCATTGCCTTTGAAACAAATGTGGCAAGTATCTCCAGCAGAGAGGACACTGGTCTTCTAGGTAGCTGGTATAGCTGTCTTTGGTATCCATGCATCATGTGTTGTTAAGTTGTGCCATTAAGATGCATAAGGAGACCCCCTCCAAAAAAAAAGGAGACCCCCTCCCCATAAGGGTCCCATATCTCAGCAGGAACACTTGAGTGATCATGGCAGACGATTTCTGTTGACATTCACTAGGGTTAGCCCCTTTCTTCATTTTGTAACTTTGGAATTTGTAAACCTGGAAAGCGTACTTCCTCCTGTTTTGCTAGGGGTGCTTCCAGTGACCTTTGTGACATGTCATTCTCATCAGTCCTTGCTGGAAGGCTTGCCTGTGGGCAGCAAACCTCATGTACACTCATGTTCATTCTAATTCCATCTCAAGGTTTCTTGAAGCTAACCTGATTTAGGGCTCTGGAATATAAACCTCTGTCCACTGCCTGCACAGAATAACTACAGTCCTGAGTTTGTTTTTAAGTAGTAAGTGTTTGAAATGTAATCATATGCTTTCAGTACACTTTATATGGGTTTGGAAGAGAGGAGAAAGGGGATGTTGTGAATAGCAAAAATAACATGTTAGCTTAAACATCAATGATTCATGTAAACAGCTAATTTAATATTTTATTTTCTTAAAGATTTTATGTACTTGAGAGAGAGACCACATCCCAGGATCATGCCCTGAGCCGAAGGCAGACTTAACACTTAACCAATGGAGCCACCCAGACACCCCTAATTTAACATTTTAAAAGCCCTGCATACTGGTTGACATGGCTTTCCTCTGGGCACCACCAGGCCTTCTTTTAAATGATTACGTGTGAGATTGGGTGTGAATGTATGTAAAAATAAGACCTTTTGGAGGGTCCCATGTGTTTAATACAGTTAAGGAGTGCTATTCTTTTCTGTCTCCTTTTAAGATACAGAGTAGCCCACTAACTGATAGAAATCTTTTTTACTCCCAAGAGCTAGTTTCCCCCACTTAAAAAGGGTAAAATTGGGGTACCTAGGTGGCTCAGTTGAGCATCTGACTCCTGGTTTCAGCTCGGGTCATGATCTCAGGCTTATGGGATCTGGCCCTGCATCAAGCCCTGCGTTGAGCCCTGCTTGAGGCTCTGCGCTCAGCAGGAATTTTGCTTCTTTCCCTTTCCCTCTGCCTCCAACTTGCACACATGTGCACACTCAGAATTTCTAAAATAAATAAAAGTGTGAAATTATGTAAATTCTGTGCAATAACATAGAAAATGCAGTGAATCTGATGTAAGTATAAGTTGTGTTCTATACAGAAGCAGTTTCACTATTAAAAAAACATGTACAAGGGTGCTTGGGTGGTGCAGTATTGGTTTCGGCTCAGGTCAGATCTCAGGTCCTGGGATTGAGCCTCGTGTTTTGCTTGGGATTTCCTCTTTCCTTCTGTCCCTCCCCCACCCGGCATATTCTCTCTTTCTCTCTCTCTCTCTCTCTCTGTCTCTGTCTCTCTCCCCCTCTCCTTCCCTCTCTCTCTCTCAAATAAGTACATCTTTTAAATTATTTATTTATTTTTTTAAAAAAGATTCATTCATTCATTCATTCATTTGAGATGCAGAGAGAGGCAGAGACAGGCAGAGGGAGGAGCAGGTTCCATGTAGGGAGACCAATGTGGGACTCAATCCCAGGACTCTGGGATCATGCCCTGAGCCAAAGGCAGACACTCAACTGCTGAGCCACCCAGGTATCCCATAAGTAAATCTTTTTTAAAAAAATGCATGTACAGTGAGTATGTGGCTGGCTCAATCAGAGGAGCATGCAACTCTTGATCTTGGGGTCAGGAGTTCGAGCCCCATGTTGGGTGTAGAGATGACTTAAAAAAATGCATGTACTATATATATATAGCAAGCTGTATATAGTAGAGACTGAGACAAATACTAAGTTGTTTAAATGTGTTGTGTCATTAGCAAATTGAAGGACATGGCAGAGAAAGCAATTGAAGGCCAACAAGAAGAGTTCTTAAAACTGGAAGATGGGCAACAGCAGAAGGAAATAAAGAAAAAAGAATATCCAGATCCAGAAGACCGGAAAGTACTGCTACAGGTTTGTTGGCTCTCTATCAGGGGTTGAGAAGCAGATTCTAAAATTCATTGGAAACCCAAGGCAAAAATCTGTCTCTCCAAGAAAGACGGTGAACAGATATGTAGCCTTCTCTGGCTGTATTTTTCCATTATAGTCTAGCTGCTACCCAAAGCTACTACAAGTCATTCCCAGCCACCCTTGGCAAAATCATAGAATATTTTCCAAGTGAAACAGAAACAGAAAGCTGAGAATTACAGATTAGTAGTTTTTTATTTTGTCTACATAAACCAACATTGCAGCTTGGTTTCAGGAAATCCCATTGCTCACACAGATTAAATGTCCTATGTGAATTTTCCCAATCTTGCACTCTGTGGCAACGCTCACAGCTGCACTCCTTAAACTCCAACAGAGACGATAAAAATTATGAATGCCTCGAAAAGTTTAAAGTCCTCCAGTTCTCCAGTAAGAATGTCTTATCCATGCAAATTCAAATCACCTGGTAAATAAATCTATAAACTGAGCTCAGACTACACTCAGTTTGAATTATTAACACTGCCTAGCCTACTTAATATTCGTTCCAGTTTTAGTATATCACTTAATCACTTATATGTTGTGTAAGTGGTTGTGTGCGTTTGCATTCCTCAGGAAGCTACCTTTAAGGAACCTCCCCGTGCTTTTGAAAGGTGTAAGACTTTTGGCTCCTGTTGCTGTGTTGATGGATAGCTAAATAATCACTTATTTGAAACTGTAGTGTCCCGATAACCAGTATAATGATAACCCTGAGGTCCTGGAGGGGACTGACGTTGCTTCTAAATCCTCAAGATGATAGCCTAGTTTTGTGCATTTTTAGTTAATGCTTTGAAAACTGGTAATTCATGAATGTGGTGTGTATAGGTGCTGTCATTCAGGTTACATTCTTTTATGCTGGATAACATTTAACTATTTAACTTTTTCAACTATTGTTTTTAGTTATCACTCATATATTGAGAATAAATGGTATCTTTATGCAAATTTTCTAGAAAGGGGACGCCAAGATAAAAGCTCAGGAGGAGGCTGACAAACGCAAGAAGGAGCAGGAGAGAATTATGTTACAGAATTTGCAAGAGCGATTAGAAAGGAAGAAGGTACTCTTTCATTCTATTTTGGGGGTTTGGTTCTTTTAGAAAATAACATTGGGCACATGATATGAAAACATGTTCTTGAAAATCACAAGTAAGTGGCATGCTAGCCTCTGGTAGTTTTCCCACTGCAACTCTCTTCTTTATCTAAGGATCTCCCCCCTACTATGGAATGGTCTCCCCTTATTGACCTTATCTATCATGGACCACTGGTGACCACTATAGTGACACCTCAATATCACAAACCTCTGAGAACAAAGCTCCTTTGAAAGAATCCCTCCAGTCACAGGGAGGGGTTGGCAGAAGTTAGTTTCTTCCAAACTGGGCTGGAAATTGCTTAGTGGGAGGGAGCAGCAGGTTCAGGCTTCTCTTGAAGTCCGTGGTGTGGGCTGTTCATCAGATGGGACCTCACTTTGTGCAACTCATTGGGCTCCTCTGGCATCAGAGGAGGCCCCCATCCAGGCTACAAGGCCTCTCTCACACCAGGGAAGGAGGTGTGCATAGGGGAGAAAAATTATTTCCCTCCCATGTGTGTACTCTTTCCAGCAACAGACTTCTGTCAATGTCACATCATTGGGGTGCATTCTTTTCATTAATATTTGCTTCAGTCATGGTCTGTTCAGACTAAAACATTAGCTACTACCACTCAAGATGTTGTCCAGATCACTGATACTGGGGTTGGGAGGATGCATGGCTGCTCACCCAAGGTCTCAAGGTGGTTAAATCTGTGGCTTGGGAGCAGTACTGATGCTGTCTACTTGTGGAAAACAAGTAATCAACTTCTTCAGGATTGTGGGTTTGTTTTTAATCCGTTTTTGCATTTGAATTTTTATTTTTCTTGAAATAGAGAATTGAGGAAATAATGAAGCGGACGAGGAAGACAGATTCAAATACATCAAAGGTACTCTGTGTGTCCCTGCTGGCAGTACATAAGAATTTCTGTAGCTTCACCTTCTTGCCGACTTTTCCATTTTTGCTGATTTGGTGGTAACTTAAGCATCACTCTCCCTTGTCCCTGATTATGAAAAAAATGGAGCACGTTCTCTCATCTTTAATTAGCTATCCTGTTTTTTCTTGTGCGAGATGCTTGTTCGAGTCTGTGCCCAAAGCCTTTGGGTTGATACTTCTCTTTTCTCACTGACTTGTGGTTCTTCACTGTTCTGGATGATACTACTTTTCTTGCTCGTTTGCATAGATCTTCTCCCAGTTGATAGCCTATCCTAACTTGGTGGGCTGCTGGATAGAAGTTCTTAATATGCACACTACTGAACTGTTTAGTAGTTTTTGATGATTAATGAACTTGAGTGCCTTTTCATCTGCTTTTTGGCCATTTGAGATCTACTTTTGTGAAGTGCCTTGTCGAGTTCTTTGTCCATGTTTCTGTTTGGTGGTTGGCCTCCTTAGTGATGTGTAGGAGTTTTTTTTACCTGCTCTGCTTATGAGCCCTACAGATATGTAGGTATTGCTATAGTTTGCCTCATATTCTCATAAGGCCTTTTGTTGAACAGAAGTTCATTTTCATGAACTTCAAATTGAGCAATTTTTTTCTCCTTTATGGTAGCTGCTTTTTGGGGTCTATTTCACAAGTATTTTCTACCCCAGCATCCTGTCTTTTGATGTGTCACATGCCTCTAGAAGGCCTTTTCCCTCCAGATTCTGGACTCTTAACCCTTTGTGTTACCAAACTGGTATTTTGGCTCTTTCCAGTTCTCATGTGTGGTCATTCATATCATGAAAATTTAAAATAGAACTGTCATTTCTGGAAAGTGTGGAGAGACAAAGATCATTTAGCCCACTGGCCTGAGAAGTGGCCTCCCCTCGAGACAGCTGTGAATTTTTTTTAGCTCTCATCAATTGGCCCTACTATGGCTTAGTTTGGACTCTCAGCAACAAAGGCCACATGCCAACCCAAAACCATTGCCATCTGCTCACTCAGAGAAGTTTTTCATTCTTGAGTATCTCCCTAACTGAAAGACAACTAGAGCCACCTGTTAGAGGTTAGATTTTTTTTAACCTTTAATTGAAGTGATGAAAAATAGCCATCAATCAGTCCAGCATGAACCTATTTTCTTTGAAATGACCAAGTCAGGCTGATAGAATATTAGATGCAATCATGACTCCTTTTCTCATCCTAGGCTGCAGAAACATTTGTTGACAACACATACGAGGAGAACGAGGCAGATGATGAGGATGAGTCGGAAAGTGACGATGGTTCTTTTGATGACCCTCATCCATCAGGTTTGCTTGCCTTTTGAGTTCTGTTAGTCACCATATAGGATCTGGACTGTCTGAGTTCATCTAGGGGCTCCTTTGCTTCTGAGCTGTGTGGCTTTGGGCAACTTACTGAACCTCTCTGTACTCAGTTTTCCTACCTGAAAAAGGGGAAGCTAATGTGGTCCTCTTAAGGTAGCATGAGATTGCCATAGGCTGATTCATGTCATGCTAAGAATAGTACCTGACGCATAGACAACTCTCAGTAAAGCCCACTACAGTGGCAAATATTATTCTTGTACAGGTTGTGACGTTAGGCTATAGGTAGTAGCTCTTACCAGAATGTGAGGCTTACTAGCATTTCCTAGCTCCTAGCCTTATGCGGCTTTCATGAATGAATACACACAGGTAGAATACCGCTTCCCACCTCACTGGGAGAAACACAACACCTCTTGTGATATGAGAGCCCTCTGAAATGGAAGGCTGAGTCCCTCATGAGAAGGAACCACTTTCTGGCAGCAGTACCAGGCACTTGAGAAAACACTGTTGTCCACTCTTTATCCCACAAATGGATATGAACACGCAAGTCAGGCTCTCTGTAGGAATAGCAGAGATACAGAAAGGAGGAAACATAGCCTCAAGGGAGGCCTTGGGGAAACTGAGGAGCAAACAGCGATACTGCCACAAGCTGGTTGGCCCAAATGCAGTGAGAACAGAGCAGTAGGAGCAAGGCTAGGTGCAGGGTCTGCTTCAGGCACTGAGGAAAGGTGAAGGTAGGAGATAGCACTGGGATTGAGGCTAAAAGAAGAGGTGGGATTGGACAGGTGGGTAGTCAGGAGGAGGGGTAAGAAGCTTGCTGCCTGTTGCCCGCTGCCCTCTGGCCTACCACTTTTGCCAAAGAGGTCAGGTTCCTTAGAGATGGCCCCTTTGTGCTTTGAGACCAGAGCAGGCATGTGCACCGGGTAGCACATTGCACCCCACAATCCCACTGCATGGCCCTCCCTGCCTTGAGGCGGCTGGCTGTGCCCTGGCCTACCACAATCACAGCCTTCACCTTCTGTTGTCTCCGTTGTCAAAACTCCAGTTTTAATCTTCTTCCTTTTGTTTTCCAAGCCTTTATAAATGGCATGGATTCATCCACAAAACTCAAAACACATTTTAAAAACATGAAGAAGAACACTCCCAAGCTGGTGTTTTTAGATGCCACTTCTGGCCAAGTCCATAGAGAGACAAAAACATTTTTTAATGACGACATGAAAACCTTCAGACAAAAAAGTGCGAAAGACCCTTTGGCTCAGGCGAAGGGTACCAGGTGAGTTGCTCAGCGAGCTTATCAGAATAAACTTGGTGGGAGTCATACACAAGATTATTGACTGAGCTCTTAGTTTGTACCAAGCACTGGGTCAAGTACTTCCAGAAGTAAACCAATCCCCACAGCAGCCTTGCTAGGTAAGGGCTATCAACTTCACTTTTACAGACGAGGAAACTGAGGCACGGAGAGATTAAGGGCCTTATTTGCCCAACATCCCATTGTGAAAGGGCAGAGCCCACATTCAAACCAGGTACATCTGGCTCTAAGCTGTGCTTTTGTGCACAGTGGTTAGCATCTGCTCATAAAACCCAGAAAGGGGGGGACATTGAGTGACTGCTGCATACCAGGTGTTTTATGTTGCCTATTTATTTTAATTCTAATTGCAACTCTGACTTCAATACAGATGTCATTTTATATATAATGAAACTGAGAGTCAGAAGTTAGGTTTGAAGAGTGAGTAGATTCTTAGGAAGGCTCCCTGGGGATTGCCTAAAAAGACACAAACCTACAAGGCCCACTGGAACACAATGGACTAAGAAGCACAGTGATGGGCTGAGCTGAGCACCGGAGCTAGGAAAGCCACATTCGTCCTCAGATGACTGTTCTGGTGGCATCCCATGTCAGCATGAAGTGGGGAACAGGGCTTCTGGAGCCCTGCGTGCTTAGCTGCTCCCAGCCCTGCTTAGTGTTCGCTGAACCCTGGGACTTTGTAGGACACAATTTGGAAACCAGTGTGTTCTGTGATCTCCAGGGTCCCTTCCAGCCTTTCCATACTAGGATTCTGAAGGATAAGTTACTTCCAAGATCTCTCTTAGAAGTTAATTAAAGGATAAAGCTTTATTTGGGACAAAACTTTGGTCTGTGGATAGTCCGGATTCTAACACAAGCCTTTCTTTCCAGATCGTCCACCAAAAGAATGACCAGCCGTGCAGCAAAAACCAGAAAGGCAAGTGAAAACTGTAACACCGTGGGACCTTCCAAGAGTTTATATCCAGAGGCACAGGAGTGGATCTGTGACAAGATTATTGACATCAGAAATGAGGCAGAGCCCCTTATGTCCAGTATCCCTCCTGATAGTCGAAAATACCATCTGAAAGGTTCCATGACATTCCACCAGAGTCCCCAGTTGCCTTTAGACGACAAGAAAAACAAATCTGTTCCTGCTCCACCGGGTAAGGCCTCCTCCTATTTTCACCTTGCTTGAAAGGCAGTTGGCCACGAACCCTCCTGCTTCTGGCTCTTGCAGGGCCTTCTTGGCATCCTGTAACTTTGAGGCAAGTAGGGAGATGGTGGTGGGTCTAAAGGCTACCTTCATATCAAAGAGTCTTCCATTTAAGTTGGTTTTGAGAACAAATGACTTGATTCTAGTTTTGACGCCTTGCATTTCCTACCAGATACACAAAGTCGGTTCTTGTCAGCCCCTCTGATCCATCAGCTGCTTTACAGCAGGCAGATAATTGTTTAGGGCACAGGATTCGTGATCCTTTTGGATTTAGTCTCTCCATCTGACTTTCCGAAGCCAAAAGGCCTTTGCTTTTCTTTCCTTTAGGAAGCTTTCTTCAAAATTGAGAGACAGCTTGGGCCTGTTTGGCAGCTGGGGTTCTGGGGGCACCAGTGTGTTGGGGTTGGGGAGGGGGTTTTCAAAGGTCCCGAACCTACCACGAAGAGAGGCTGGCGCCCCGTGGCAGTGAGACCAGCATCTTCACCATTCTTTTTCTTTTTCCCTCTGGTCAGATATGTAAACTTCGCACAGCCCAGAAGAGAATTCATCGTCTGCTGTGGATCTCCACTTCTCCCATCTCCCCTAGTCTTTCTGCCACTAATTTGAACCTGGCCAAGGAAATGATCATCAAAAAAAGGGAAAACATCAGACAGACACCTTGACATGTATCTCAGAAGATGCACTTACCATCTTGACTCTTGCCCACAGCAAGGATTCTGAGTAAAAAGTCATTTTTGTTTTCCTGTAAATACTTCCACTGTCTCGTTCTTGTTTTCCAGCCAGGGTGTGTGAGTGCACATCAAGGGTGCCTTTATGAAGTGGTAACTCTTGAGCTTGTAAACCAAGGAGTAATTTCCTCTCTTAAAATAATGCTTATTCTGTTTAACAGCTATGTCACTCTAGCAATTCAAAGCTGACATTCAATCTCATAGAGGACACATGGGGTGTGTGAGGGACTCAGGATTGCTCACAAGAGCTTTGCTGGATTGTCTCTAATAAACAAAGGAGAGGCTGCAAAATACTGTTAAGTTACATGTTAACCATTAGGTATGCATGTGTTCAACTGTGCCATCACCTGAGCGCACAGGCCCTGACACCCCCACGTGCTAGGAGTGTTAGATTGTGTGATCTTGGGACAGTTGTAGCACCCTTCGTGCTCATCACCATCACCTTTTAAAGTGCACTTTGGGGTTTGTTTTCAAACATGCATAGTGTTTTGATTGTACCTAAAGCAGTACCTGGCTGTTGTCTGGCGGGGCACGTGCCATTTCCCCAGTTCACAGTGTGCCATCTATTTATCCTTGTGCTTGCCAGCCCTGCCCTGCAGTGCACACTCGGCCTTGGCATGTGGAGCCGATTTGCTTGCCTTTCTCTAGCTGCTGGCTGCAAGTGAACACAGGAATAGTGCCATTCTTTGGGCCCCACGATAGAGAGGTGCGCACACTTGGATGCACATGTACACACGTGCACACGCATTTGCATACACACGTTTGTACGCACATACACACACATGGGATAGGTTTCCTGACGTCCGTCAAATTCTGCTTAATACACGCCCTTGACTAAAACTTGAATGCACAGCAGTTGTCCTACTGCTAATAGTTTTCTGGTGAATCATAAAGGAGTTTGAAGCAAGTCCATGTTCCTTTCTAGCCACCAGCCTTGGATTAGCAAAAGAAGGGCCTTCTTTCTGATTCCTTAGCTCTTTGCCATTCAAAGTACTGTACCATTGTTATAGATTAGAGCTTGGTGCCTTAGATTTGAAAACTATTTTTATACAGGAGCTCTTTCATATAGAAGGCAGAGACAATCATCGTAACAAATGAATTTCTGGTATTTGTCTGCACCAATGTCACGTGTTGGAACACTGTTAAACTTGCATTTATATGTGTGCTCTGTGAAATAAACTTTGCAGATAAAGCAAGTTTTCTTTTTCATTATAATAACAAAAAACAAGAACAAGAAACAGATTGCTGGTGGTATAAAGGAGACCCTAATGGTTAACCAACCTTTGAACAATAGGCAAGTGACAGGTTCAATAGAAGGTAAGCAAATCCTCTGATGCCCCCCTTCAGCTACTTGGTGATGTGGGACATTAAGGTGTGAATTTTCAAATCCTGTGCCCGGTTTAGTGTATCTTACTCTTGCCATTGGTGGCTCTCGACTTTTCCTTGAGGCCAGTGGTTATAAGGTGTCTTTTCTGTTTACTGTGGTGAAATTCACCTAACATATTCCAGTTTTTTGGCATTCGGTCCATTCAGTGTTGTGCAACCACTACCTGTATCTGGCTCCAGAACCTTTTCATCACCCTCAAAACACCTGTACCTTTTTTTTAAACACCTGTACCTTTATGCAGTCATTCCCCAAACCTCTCCGCAGCTCCTTGAGGGGCCTCCCTTGTGCCTACCACAAACACTTGGCTTTCTCGAGCCTGAGTGTGCACACCACACAGGCTGTGATTGTGTTGTTACATGCACACTATCTTTGTGACCTCACCATTCCTGTGCCTGGCTAAAACATGTTCTGATCTGCCTGTAAATATGTAGTCTCCAACCTTGAGGCCTGTTCTGCTAGGTTTTGTTTTGGGTCAGGCGAGGTCCCTGTTGATTCTCTCTTTGGGGTCTGGTGCTTCTGAGAATAGTGACAGCCGTCCTCACTTGGCATTCCATATCATTGGTCTGGCTGTTGCAGCTGTTGACCTGGGATGTTCTGTGGTGTGCACACAATCTACAGCACACTCACAACTCCCTGCCCATAGCTCCGAGGTGGTGGATGCTGGCAGAGCCTCCTCGTCTCCGGAGCCAGTGCCCTTGAACCTGTTAAGGGTATGTGAGGCATGGATTGCCTTCAGTTTTCTTTTTTTTTAATTTTTTTAAATTTATTTATGATAGAGAGAGAGAGAGAGAGAGAGAGAGAGAGAGACAGGCAGAGGGAGAAGCAGGCCCCATGCACCGGGAGCCCAATGTGGGATTCGATCCCGGGTCTCCAGGATCGCGCCCTGGGCCAAAGGCAGGGGCCAAACCGCTGCGCCACCCAGGGATCCCTGCCTTCAGTTTTCCTTCCTGTCTGGGTAGTCCCTTGGTGTCCCTGACCCTAAGGGACAGTTTTCTAGCTTCTGCTGGTGGGTTCTGCATAGGAGCACATTTCCTACACCTGTGTCCTCTTGTGCAGGCACAGAGCCTGTGAACAGCTCCAAACCTTGGCAACCACAGCAGTGAGGTGTGGGATACCATAAAGGATGCCAGACAGGGACTTAACAGTCCCAAGCCTTAGCTGAGGTGGCTGTGAGCTTGCTGTGAGCTTGCTGTGTGACTTCATGTGCGTTTTTAAAAAAATGTTTTATTTATTCATGAGAGATACAGGCAGAGGGAGAAGCAGGCTCCAGGCAGGAAGCCCCATGTGGGACTCAATCCGGGGACTGAGCCAAAGGCAGATGCCCAACTGCTGAGCCACCTAGGTATTCCTCGTGTGCGTTTTTGTGTGACTTTGTGCTACAATTGGAGCCCCTTTTAGTCCTGAGGAATCATTCCTTGTGGTGAGAGCCAGAGGATCAGGAAACAAGACAGAGCAGCAGGAGCTGGTGCCAAGAAGCCAAAGTCCGGAGGCAGGCTAGCTGTCACATTTTGTCAGGGGTCAATTCCCTGTGGCCTGTTGGATGCCCCCGGGCCATGCTGATGTGGTTTGTTGAAGCAGGCAGGGAGAGGCTACCTTGCTGTTGGTCTCCCTTCCCACCAATACAGTTCCAGTGTTTCTGGAGGGATGTGTGCAAGGGTTCCCCAAGTCTCATAATAAGTGTAGTTACATTTACACGTGCCATATGCCAGGGACTTTATTAGGCATTGTTTTAAACCCTGTGAGGGTGGGTATTTGTTTTTACCTAGGAGAACACAGATTTGTGGAGATTGGCAGTTGTTCAACATCATACAATTAGGAAGAGGCAGAGCTGATGCTCAAATTCAAGTCTGATTGTAAAGCCAACACCCCATCCTGCTTTGTGAGTGGTAAGTGTCTCGCAGCTTCCATACTAGGTTAACAGACCATCTTGGTGCTGGAAGTACAAATGAATCGATGTGTTTTTACTGGGTGTCAGTAGTCCTGCTAAGCACTCATGTAATCTGCATGTGATTCTGGGAGGTAGGAATTCTCATTTTATAGGCAAAGAAACAAGCTCAGGTCAGGTAAACTTCCCCATGGTCTCAGTGGCATAGCGAGTGGCAGAGCAGCTGGGATTTGAACCCTGGCAGTCACTCCAGAATGCACTGTTAACTACCAGTATGTTTTGGATAGTCCCATCCCCAATTACAAGGGAGAATGGGGTTATCTGATGAAAAGTTGCTAACTAGGAATCTCCCCTACTTCCTCACTTCAAACTACTAAGCAGAGACCTGATGGGTTCCTCATTGTGATGCATCAGACACTGGCCCTACCCTGCAGAGGCCCACTGTTTCTATGGCAATGTCTAGTCCTAAGGGACAGGCTGGAGGTCAGTCACTCCTTAGTGGTGTGACCTCTGGCAGACCTCTCAACCTCTCTGAACTTGGGTTTTCTAACCTGGAAAACGGGCGATAGTGCAAGCCGTAGAGCCGGACCTGTTTTCCCGTGAGGTACGGAGGAGGCAGCGGCCTGGCCTGTGTGGCGCTGGCAGGGGCAGCAGCAGTGCAGCCTTTTCGAGGCAGACCTTGCCCTGGTGTGCCCTGGAGTTCTGCCGGCCAAGTAGGATAAGGCAGGCCCAAGTGTCACACAGGATTAAGGACAGGCATGGCATGTAGGGCAGATGAGGGATGTTAGGGAGGGAAGGAGCTGGGAGCCAAGCACCAGCTCAGTGAGAATGAGTGGGGCACCCCCGCCAGAAGGAGTTGCTTGGGGACACCCAAAGGCCCAGCGTCTGCTGGGGTGGAGACCAAGTGGAGGTGTGTTGTGGTCTCACCCTGAGGAAGCATCCTGAATGTAGTCCCCTCTCGGTCCCAGGCTGGTCTCCTTTGGGCTCTGGCCCTTGCTGCCGCAATGTCTGAAACCTGGTGGCTCCCTTGGGAAGCAGAGCAGTGCCATCCCAATTCCCTACCCCACCCCTGCAACCTTGGGCCCCAGATGGATCAGACAGACCCTTTTTGTGGTTTTAACTGCTAATCTCTCTAGGAAACAGACAAGGGGAGGTCACCTGTTCATAAAAATGCCCAGGTTTGGGCACACCTGGGTGGCTCAGTGATTGGGTGTCTTCGGCTCAGATCATGATCCCAGGGTCCTGGGATGGAGTCCCATGTGGGGCTCCCTGCTCAGTGGGGAGTCTTCCCTCTCTGCCTCTCGCCTCCCCTGCTTATGCTAATAAATAAAGACCTTAAAAAAATGCCCATGGTTTCTTGCTGACGGGCTTTGATTCCCTGCTAACGTGCTCAGGTCAGTGTTAGCACCAAGGGGGTCCTGCTCTTTGTTTTTACTACTGTGGTCCTGATGCTCATAGGACTGTCGCCCTCTCCTCCAGGCTGGCCAGAAGCATGGAGGGAGCAGCACCTGACAGCAGAGGTCCCACAGACCCGCACTCCACAGGGCACCAGGAAAGCGAGGCCAACAAAAAGGGGACTGTGATGCTCTGACACCCTTTAGCTGCTACTCGTTCCCACCCCTGCTCTCTGGCCAAAGAAAACCAGTGCC